GTATATACTTTTTTAAAGGATTTATTTATTTATGCATACAGAACCGGGGTACAGGCCAGAGGTACAGGGGTGGTGAGATGATTCACCTGAGACAGAGTGGGGAGCAGAACAGGCTGACTGACGGAGAGCAGCAGGCGGGTCAGGAGAGGTCTTCTACAAGCCATGTGGGTCACCTCCAGGGTGGGGATCAAACTCATGCTAAAGTGGCTTTAGCTTCTTAGTGCTGTGCTTTAACCTGCTGCATCACTAGGGAGGGCCCCAGTACATAATTTAAGAGCTTTCAAAAAAGATATCTCCAGGCCCAGATGGCTTCACTGGAGAATTCTACCAAAAGTCTGAGAGTTAATTTATTTCCATTCTGTCTTTCCCAGGTGGTAGAATTTTTGTTGATCTGTTTATTAATGGATGCTTGGGTTGTTTTTATCTTGTGGCTATTGTGAATAGTGCTGAAATGTATGTGTGTGTACAAGTATCTCTTTCAGTCCCTACTTTCAACTTCTGGGTGTATATTCCTAGAAATAGAATTGATGGGTCATATGGTAATTTTATGTTATGCTTTTCTTTCTTTTTTTAACCTGTAGGTTTTCTTTCTTTTTTTTCTAAATTATATATTTATTTTTTATTTTTTTTTTACACCATTTTGTGCATTTTTCCATCTCAGTTGTAATCCTCGTGGGTTTCCCACCACCAATTCACCCGTGTGCTATCACCACAGTCCAGTGCACTCTTCCCACCCCAGTTCTGATCTCCCTTTCACCACCATAAAATGGCTCTGGTTTATAGTTGTTCATTTTTACTCTATTATATTTGTTTGTCTCTCTTCCCTCCCTCCCCCCGATTCCTTATGCTCCTGCTATGAGTAAACCATCCAGTATTTTTATTTTTCTTTCACTAAGCATGATTGCTTCCAACTCCATCCAAGTTGCTGCAAAAGGCATGAACTTATCTTTTTTGATTGCTGAGTAATATTCCATCGTGTATATGTACTGCATCTTTTTAATGTAGTCTTCTATTTTTGGGCATTTGGGTTGATTCCACATTTTCCCTATTGTAAATAGAGCAGCAGTAAACATAGGGGTGCAGGAGTCTTTTTGAATTAGTGTTTTTGTGTCCTTTGGGTACATACCTAAGAATGGGGTTGCTGGGTCATATGGAAGCTCTATTTTTAGTCTTTTGGTTGTATCAGCTTGCACTCCCACCAACAGTGTAGAAAGTTCCTTTTTCTCCACATCCTAGCCAACGTTTGTTGTTGCTAATTGTTTTAAATGTGCCATCCTTACTGGTGTGAAGTGGTAGCTCATTGTAGTTTTAATTTGCATCCCCCTTATTACAAGTGATGTTGAACATTTTTTCATATGCCTGCTGGCCATCTGCATTTCTTCTTTGGAGAAGTGTCTTTGTAGCTCTCTGCCCATATGTTTTGCTTTTTGAGGAATTGCCTAAGTGTTTTCCATAGTGACTGTCCCAGTTTATATCTATTCCCATCAGCAACTGGCGATAGTTCCAATTGATTCCCATAATTTTAACACTTATTTTTCCTTTCTTTGATGATAGCTATCATAGTAGGTGTGAAGTGGTAACCCCTGATATTGGGTATCTTTTTGAGTTTATACCTTTGGAAAAATCTCTCTTCAATTTCTTTGCCCATTTAAAAAAATTAGTTGTTTATCTTTTTGTTGTTGAGTTCTTTTTATGTACTTGATATTAGGCCCTCAAGAGGTATGATTTAAAAATACTTTCTTCCATTTTTGTGGGTATTGTCTTTTCACTTTCTGAATAGTGTCCTTTGATGCCCCAAAGTTTTAAGTTTTGATGAAGTCCAGTTTATCTTTTTTCTTTTGCTTGTGCTTTTTTAACTTTTTTTTTTAAAGTAATAGAACCATTAGCAAATTTTTCAGGTAGTGTTAGGTGGTATTTTCCCATGTGATCACAGATTAGGAATTGAATGACTTCTTTTGGGTGCAGGATCAACAAAAAAATAACTATTAGTTGCCACTGATTAAGTATCTAGTATGTGCTAGATGCCTTTGGGAGAACTTAGAAGAGAATTTTAAGGAAGAAAAGGGTCATAATTTAATTCTTCCCAGGTAAATTGTTCAGAAAACTCTTTACCTCCCAAGGAGATTAGAGATACATTCTTTTCTATCTTTGTCTGGAGAAAATTTAAGGTAAAACTTAAATTTTACTTTTTATGTTGACTGTACTAATCAGGTTCCTAGCTTCTGCCCTGGATCAGATACACATCCATACGTCAGCCTTTGGAGGTTTAGACACGTTTCTTATTTCTGTACTTCACTGAAATTCTTACTTAGTGTTTACCTTACCTGCCTAGTCCACTGTCATCTTTACCAACAGTTAAAGAAGCTCACGGTATATCGGTATATGGGTTCTTCATTGAGGGATAAATATTTTGAACCAGATTTTACATTTGTTTCACTGTACTACAAAAATGAGAATTTCAGTGGCCTCCCTGTTGGTGCAGGGTGATAAGTCTCAGCACTATGAAGCAATCCATAGCCATTGCAGCAAGAGGTCAAGCATCAGACTCCTCTTGTCTCGTTGCTACTTCCCTCAGCAGTATATTTCAGAAAGTCTACCTTTTCTGCTCCCCACTTTGTTTCTGGTGAATCCTCTTACTCTCCCTGCCCCGACCTCTGGTTTGAATGCATAAGTAAATAAAATAAATCTTTTTAAAAAATGAGTTTCCCCCACATTCATAATTCTGAAGTTCCTTTAAGAGCCTATGCACTTTATGTTGTTAATTAAAATAACTAAGACTTTTTCTGTTTGTGGTGTGGATGCTTTTTTCTTTAGTATATTTTTGCTTAGATGACTCAATAAATGTTCAGTTTCCCCCATGAACTGTGAACAAACCACAAATATTAAGTGTTTTGTTTAATATGACTTTTTTCTCTGATTTTTTTCCCCACCAGCGGATCTAAAAAGAACAATAGCTGTCCTTTTGGATGACATCTTACAACGCTTGGTAAAGCTGGAGAACAAAGTCGACTATATTGTTGTCAATGGCTCAGCAACCAACACTACTAATGGTACTAGTGGAAATCTGGTGCCAGTAACCACAAATAAAAGGATAAATGCATCAGGCAGCATTAGATAGCATTTGAAGATCACCTTGTGCTGCTACATCCACTGTGGATTATGTCCTATGGCAGAAAAGCTTTTTAATCACTGACTAGGATAGAATAATACTTTACAATAAAAGCTCTACATATTTACATTTTTTTGAAATATGCTGGATTCATGGGACTCTAATTCTGTATGTAAAATTTTAAAACTATTAGTTTGCGTTCAGGCAAGTCTCTTCAATGCTGTGCTATATTCTTAAAGGGATTTTGATAACATGGTTGGTGTAGTAAGGTGATCTTTATACAAATCTCTTGTGTTTGAGATCAAGGTGGAACTAAAACACTGAGAGACATGGATTCATTTCCATAAAATATTTATTAAAACATGTACCATATTTTTCAGGCATTGTTACTAAGTCAGTTTGTCATTTGTTCTCAATAGGTGTAAATGTTAGACTAATGCTATTAGACAATATGCTTAATTCCAGTACTATATTTTGTTACTCAGATTATGAACAGAGAAAAAAAAGTATAATGTTGAAAATAATGTTTGAAAATCATGACCCAAAGAATGTCTTTATTTGCACTATCCTTCAGAAATAACTGAAGGTTAATTATTGTATATTTTTAAAAATTTAACATTTGTAAAAGTATAATCTTGAAAATGGGTAGTAACCACTGTCTGTAACTTAAGCATTGAGGCAATTAAATGATAGTAAAGTAGTAACTAATCTCATATGTAACATTTTCTTACATATATTCTAAAGAATAAAAGATATTTTTATGAGATTAAAAAATAAGTAAAGTATTAATCCATGATTTTTCATATACTTGAATGTTAATTTAAGTTTAACCTTTGTGTATGCTATTAGGAAAGCAGAAAAAAACAGAAAAGTTCTGTTTTTACTACATTGTTAGGGGATTGGGACATTGAGATATTTATGAAACTTGGACTCTTAAGATACATATGTAAAGGTATTTGTGTTGCATTAAATTGATTAGAAAATGTTAACATTATATGAATATCCAGCTCTATGAAATTTTGGATTTGAATAACATACATTATTCATTTTATATAAGGACTGCTTAAAATAATTAAGAAAAATACAATATAAATTATAAAGATTGATTATCTTTTTAGGAAAACAGCTATTATATATAGCACAAGAGATCCTAATCTTGGGTAAATCTGGTATAGGAAAAAATACATCTTTATAAAAAATTCCCTTGTAGCAAATGACATTGCCATATGGTGCCCTATATTTAATAGTATTTATTCTCTGTAATAGCTGCCTAAGTGCAGCTAGCTTCTAGATTTAGACTATATTGAATTTAGTTTTTGGTTATTGTATTGTTCATTATTACAATATGCTATAAAATGTAGTAGCAATAATTATGGTATTTTGTTAAAATAAGTATGAGAAAATACTGTTTCATGAAAGGTAGCTTTCCAAACTCTTCTGTATACATTTATGTGAAGAACTAAATTATATGCCATTGCCAGGTGGAGTTTGGAATTGTTCAGTCTTTCTTATTAGATGCATACATTTTTGGTGTTTGTTTTCAGGGATGAAATAAAATATATTATTTGTACTTACAAAGTGTTAGCATAAACTTTTTTCTTTCTTTTTTTAAAAGATTTATTTATTTATTCATATAGAATTGGGGTACAGGCCAGAGATGTGGAGGGTGAGAGGATTCACCAGAGACAGTGGGAAGCAGAACAGGCCGACTGATAAAGTACACTGCTGAGGGGAGCAGTGGGCAGGTCAGGAGAGGTCTGCCTTGCCATGTGGAGTTCCTCCAGGGCAGGCGGGAATCGAACTCATGCGGAAGTGGCTTAAGCTTCTTAGTGCAGTGCTTTAACCTGCTGCGCCACCAGGGAGGGGCCGTAAACTTTTTTTCTTTAATGATGGCTTTGCATTTATTAATGATTAAAAGGAATAGTGTACAATTTTGGGGTTTGTTCCACCTACATCAGATAGTTTTTTCAGGAGAAAAATGGAAACTTATCCAGTGTAGGAGAAACTGAATCCGGTAATCAATTGGAATAAGTGTGGGAATTGTGACTAGAAGTTGTGCCTAAGTTAAGTTAAAATTAAACTTTGCTATTGAGTTTTTAAAAATCATAATTTAAGTATATCTTCAGTTAATTTAGTTAATTAGGACATTTGCATAAAGGGTAATGAGTCATAGGGTAAGTGGAGAGCCCTTATGTCAGAATAGAATTGGAAAGGCCTCTGGGAAATAAGGATGACTCCAGAGATAAGGGCAGAAAACTCTTAAGGGAACTAATCAAACACCCCAAGACTAGGGCCAACAGGAGACTCCACACACATAACAAGGATGATAAAGAAAAGTAAGCTAAGGGTGGGACACAGAGAGAGAGTTCTGGGCATAGATATTAAGCCTGAGTGAGTAAGATCACCAAGAACTAACTATGGCAAAGATATTGATGGAGCTTTAGAATAATTAGGAAAGACGGTTTATATTCCTTAAGGTATAACTCTTCTTGGGCTTCCTTGCCCTTTCCTGGCCTGGGAGTCCCTCTTTCTGATCTTTTTCTTGTTAATAAACAACTTCTTTCTATACATATTTACCTCCTTTCACTTGCTTGCCTGAGTGTCAGTGAGGTTCCTGCTGCAGCTTTATGAGACACCAACCCGTGGTGGTCTAGTGGCCATGACTCAGTGCTGTCACTACAGCCTGGGATCCATTCCTGGTTGGGAGACTAGGCCTGAAAACCTGAAATTATGGTATCAGTATCATTAAAGGTACTAAAAACATTTAAGTTTATTGCAGAATAACTTTGGTTTACTTTAGCTCTGTACTGATAAGTAATCTAAATATTTTTTCATAGCTAATGATTACTTGTGTCTTACTCATTTTCAAGAACATTAAGGACCTTGACCTTGCTGTTAGGCTCAAGTCTGTCTGTTTTTTTTTTTTTTTTTAATATTTATTTATGTATGCATATTGGTGTTGGCTTGAGGTGTGGAGGTTGAAAGGACTAACCAGAGACAGAGTGCGGATCAGAACAAGTAGATCAACTGAAATACACTGGTGAGGGGAGAAGAGGGTGAGACAGGAGAGATCTGCTGTGCTGTGTTAGATCCATTTGTAGTTGCAGTGCCCATAGCTTCAGAGTACTGAGACTTAACCCCTTGTGCCACTAGGGAGACCCTCAAACCAGCTTTGTGACACCATGTTCTTAGTTACTTTGAATTTATAGAATTTGCCTCATCCTATTTGAATATATCTGAGAAGCCTAAAATGTTAGCAACTTTACATCTCAAATTAAGGATCTTGCCTTGCAGATTTGGTTTAATTGTAAACTATGTTCTGTTTTGTTTTTTTTTTAAAGATTTATTTATTGATGCATACAGAACTGGGGTACAGGCCAGAGATGCAGGGGCGGTGACAGGATTCATCAGAGACAGTGGGAAGCAGAACAGGCCGACTGATAAAGTACACTGCTGAGGGGAGCGGCCGATGGGTCAGGAGAGGTCTGCTGTGCCATGTGGATCACCTCCTGGGCTGGGATTGAACTCATGCTGGAGTGGCTTTAGCTTCTTCGTGCTGTGCTTTAATCTACTGTGCCACCAGGGAGGGCCCTGTTCTGTTTTTAACCAGACACTGCTCATTGGCTCTCAAATCAGTCATGTGTGTACTTTTTAAAAGAGAAGTGGCCTGCCGGAAGGATGTCTGATATAATGAAACAGACCAAAATAAAGGGATTAATTGAGATCATTTTATCGCAGTTGAAAGCCCTGAGTAATTCTTTTTTCTCCCCTTTTTTTAAAATTGAGGTAATATTGGAATACCCTGTCAGGTATTACTACCATCATTATAGTGTACCTACCACCAACTCCCCCTTATTCTACCACCATAGACCATTAAGCTTCCTTCCCTCTTTGTTCTTATCCCTTCTTTGCTGCTTCAATATAAGCTTGTTTTTATATGACTCATAGTTTAGTTACTTTTATTCCACACATTAATGGTACCACCTGGTATTTATCTTTTTCCTGACTGCACTTAGCATTATCTCTTCAAACTCCACTCATATTGCTGCAAATGGCATGAGTTTGTCTTACCTTTTGATTAGGTGAATCATAAGGTTTATCTTCAGAGATAGCTAGAAAGGGACAGGAGAGGGGGAAAAAATGAATATAAAAGGAGAAATTCAGGGACCCTCTCTGGTGGTGCAACAGGTGAAAGCATAGCACTGTGAGGCTAGCTGCAGCCGCATCTGCAAGAGTTCAATCCACAGCCAGGGAGCTGACTCACATGACACAGCAGACCTCTCCTGTCTCACCCGCTGTGCCCCTCAGCAGTGTATTTCAGTCAGTCTGCCTGTTCTGCTCCCCACTCTGTTTCTGGTGAATCCTCTGGCTCCCTGCACCTCTGGTCTGTACCCTAGTTCTTGTATGCATAAATAAATAAATCTTTAAAAAAAAATTTAGAGAAGAAAAGTGGAGAAGTGGGGCTAGAGGGAGACTGGAAAAGTTTCTACCAAGTGGCAACTACTGCTGACATTTAGTAACTAAAAGTGATTCTGATCTGTCACATGCTCAATTAACATCTCATTTCCACTTAGTATTTAAAGTTCTCACTATGGAGAGAACACCCCAAATTTGCCCCAGGCTGTGTCCTAACCTCATTTCTTACTGTCCTTTCTAATTCCTCTTTAGCCATGTTGACTTTCTTTTCCTAGAACATACCAGGTATGTTTTTGCCTTAGCGGTTTCCAACGTGGTAATCCTCTATTTGTAGCTCTAATTCCTAGACAGTTTCATGGTTCTCTCCCTCACATTATTCAAGTATATGCAAACATTACTTCTTAAGAGAAGTTGTCTTTGACCACCTGCCCAAATAGCATGGTCTTCTGACCATTTTTCTTTTTACTTCATAGTGGTGATATGCTAGGCATTAAATTGTGTATTAGCTTTTTCTGATGATTCTCAAATCTAAGCTCCATAAAGACAAGGACTTCATTTTGTTCACTGAGTAAACTGGAGCATATGCAACTCTGGTGCATAATAGTTATCTGATAAAAGGAGTTACTAAACCAGTCTATAATTTTTTTTGGTGCATCTACATTTTTTGTTTTTGAAAATATACCTTATTATTTTTGTACAACGTACTGTGAATTTTCTCCGAGTTGGTAAGTATAAATTTTCATAATTTTTCCATTGTATGGCTACAGTAGTTACTTTAGTTGATAGATCTTTCCCTCAATTATTAGGCTTTTTGATTTCAGAGAAAAAAATTAGACTTAGTTGTAGGACAAGTCTAAAATCTGTTCTCTTTTTATTGTTCTATGCTGTCATTGTTTTAATGCTTAGAGGGTAGCATAATGAGTGTGCTTAATATGCTTTTGGGGAACTTCAAATTGAAGTGGTGAAATATCTTTACTTGTATAGAACTGCAAACAAGGGCAGAGACAATACAAAATAGGTGATCATCCTGATTGTTTTATATCATGAATATCATTTTTTTAAGTGTAAGAAAAAGACTAGGAATAAAATGTATAGTAGCCAATCATCAGAGGGAATTGGCTAGTGGTCAGACTTGATCAGATTGGGTTGGTAATTTTATTAAAAGCTTTTGACTTAAATGAATCAGTTATATTAGTGTGTATTTAAACAGACAAGACAAAGATTAATTTTTTTTTTGTTTTCTAGATTTTATAAATGTCAGCATCTTTCAAGTATCTTTTGCAAAGAGCTAATGACCTCCTCTGAGTCCTTCGTGGGTCAAGAGTAACTTCATATTGCTTCTAAATATTAGAAGCATTGTTTATTTTAATAAGTGATTATTTTTATTTCTATTGAAGTAATATTTCTTTACAACACCACAGAGGTTTTAGTTTTACAGTTTCTCACCTCAACAACTGTGTTTATCATACCATGCTAACTACCAAATGTCCAGTCACCATCTATCACCAATTGACTCCCTTTACCTTGTTCTACCCTACCATTCTGTTGTCAGAGTCTAAGGGTTTGTTGGTTTTGGGGTTTTTTTTTTGTATTCCATAAATGAGAGTGAAATCATCTGGTGTTTGTCTTACTCCTCACTTCACTTAACATAATTCCCTCGAGGTCCATCCATGTTGTAATGGCAATATTTCACCTTTTTAACTAAGTGTTCCCTTGTATATTCATACCACATCTTCTTTATCTAGACACTGATCACTAGACAGGAAGATCTACTGAAATGCACTGCTGAGGGGAGTAGCAGGTGAGACAGGAGAGGTTTGAAATGCCATGTGGGTCAGCTCCCTGGGCAGGGATTGAACTGCTTCAGTGGCTGCAGATAGCTTCCTACTGCTTAGACTTAACCCCTTGTGCCACCAGGGAGGCCCTTTTTCCATTATTTTCTGTAGATAGATGTTTTTGCATATTAAAGCTTGATGTTTATTAAATTCTGGCACTTTGCCAGGCTACTACATGAAGAGAATGTTGAAGGGCATCACTCTTCAGCACACTATTATTTAAAGGGTAGTTGCCCTCACCTATTTGGCTACCCAACAATACAGGTTTATTTCAGTCCAGGAAGCTGGGTGCAAACGATTGGATATAGATATATATGCACA